ACTGAATGATCCTAGGTGGGGGTAACTAGGAATGATGGTGAAGATTTCGTCAAGGTATGGATTTTCATGGTGTTGAGGAAACCACACTGTGCTGATTGTTTGACTGGACACTGATGTGGAGTCTATTCTGACGTCAGCTATAGAATAGTTTTTCGGGTGAGTGGCATGAGTTTAACTCAGAAGTGAGCTATTCCAGATCTATATTATGTCTATGGTATGGAGAAAACTTGAATAAACTAATCAACTTGGTCATGGAGAACTGCACATTGTTCTAAATGGGGTTGGCAAAGTTTGTTGGCACCTCGGGGAGAATCGCCGCTCAATTAGTGATGGCAGGAAATTTCTCTCTCTCGGTTTCTGCCTCACTGGAGTGTGGATTTAAGATGAAATGGCTATATACATGTACAAATAGCCTCATAAATATTATTGTGAGTAATTTTAGGATTTGTTTTCTCACATTTAAGGGGGGGGGGGAGGAGGAGGGAGTGGGACAGTGGGGAAAGGGTGGTGTGGCCAGTAGAGTAGCAGGTGGAAGGACCAGTCAGTTGGGAGGTATGGTCAGTACTGGTGGGCATATTCGGCGCGATCTTGGGTCTTGGGGGTCTCGGGTCCTGGGGGGTGGGGGAGGGAAGGGGAGTGGGGAGTGGTAATTCGATATGTAATGGGGGTAGTTGATTTGGGGAATTGTGTTGTGCTCGCCATCATCACTGTGAACAAATAGTTAGAACAACTAGTTGCATAGTACAACTATTGCATAACATAGTTCAACTGAATTAACAGGTGACATTAGTGCTGGGCAACAAGCATTGTGTTCAGGATAGTAGTAATACCATAGTAAAGACCCTGGTTGTTTTCCAAAGTTATACCAAGTCCTGTACCCTGTGCCACAAAGAGTCAAATTCCGCAGCGCTTTACAATGGGTGGACGAACAGACATGTAGTTGTAACCAGACAAGTTGGACACACAGGAAGAGAGGGGTTGAGGGCCCTGCTCAATGAGCTTACATGCTCGAGGGATTGGGGTAAAATGACACAAAAAGGTAAGGATAGTGTTAGACTAGTAACAGTTGCAGAAGAGGAGTCAGTCGGGAGCTAGTAACAGTTTAATTGATACGCTTTTATGAAATGGGTTTTTAACGATTTTTTTAAGGAGTGGAGACTGGGTGAGCATCTAATGGAGGAGGGAAGCGAGTTCCACAGGAACGGTGCAGCCCTCTAGAAATCTTGAAGGCGAGCATCCTTCGTAGTGTCACTTCTGCAAATATGATTCTTTGGAAATATAGCACTTGTATGTGCCTGAAATCTTACCAGTAACTTGTTTTACAAGTTATTGGGGTCGTAACAAATAGTTTTACTAATAAATCTTGTTGATGTACAAACATACCATTTGAACAGATGTTCCGGTCTAAATTCCTGACATGTACCCTGGCATAACTTATCTTACCCTCTTGTGTTGTTTTCTCTTGTGTTTTTTTTTTAACCAACTTAATATTTGATTGGAAGTAAGTTTAAACAGGCCCTCTCTTCAAATATATGCATCTGTATTCAGAATAATGACAACATATCTACATAACCGAATGTCATGTGAAACCATTTGATAATTCAGCCATTGCAGCAAGCAGCCACTTCCTGGCTGCTCGCTGTTTAACAGATATGCCCCCACTCAAGGTATGGTGATAGGGGGTATGCGAATATAAAAAAAAACTTGTATAACCCCTGTCACGAAAGCACTGTACTCCAAGAGTGTGCGTGACAGTTGTGGTGGTGAAAAGGTTACAGTTCACTATTTGACTGCACTAGACTGGAATTAATGACAAAATCCTCCTTTTAACACCACCCACACTTAAACATAATAATATAACTATTACTATTTTAACACTGCCACCACCAAGACAATTTATAAATGGGGTGCCTTGGCCCCCCAGGTAAATCAACCATAAAACCCACCAAAAATTACTTAGTACAATATTTAAGGAATTACAAAACATAGTATCTAGTCTCTTCAGGTAACGTGATTCTTAACCAGACAAAGGCAGAACTTAATAAATGAGTGTTTATTATGAGGGGGAGTTAAGGCATTCTTACAGAAATAATAAGTGACCACCCCCTTGTGTCCAGACCAACATCAATCTAAATGGAAACATTTGGTTCTATCTTCTCTTATGTACCCACCACAGAAATAATAATACATTCCAAATATAAAAAAAATGAGGCATTATTATTCTGTGGGGTAAATATGAATGTTTCTGTCCTTCCTTTGGATTTGATACTGGAACCAGGCTTATGGCATTTACATACCAAAGAGATTGGCTCATCCCTTACAAGGTACATGCCAAATGGATGAAGAGACATTCAGACTTTTTCTAAGTGTAGAACCTCACACCTTGCAGAGCCTTGATTACTTGACATCCATATAGTAAAATCATTTTCACATTGCTATGCCATTCATACTACCCTGCTAATCCAACAATGCTTTGGTTGAACTCTACTAAAAATGGTGGTGACCACGGAGGAGGTAGAGGTAGTGGTGGGACAGGTGTCAGCAATCCTCATGGCTGAGGATGTGGTAACCCCTCTTCCCCAAACCTTCCTCAATTTCTTCTTGGGATTAGAAAAGTACATTGATGATGGTGGGTTTCATTTTCTTATTTTTGTAAGTTAGGTATATGAATGATTGTGTATAAAAGAACTTTATTCAGCAGAAAATGGTGTATGTGCTGCAAAATGGATTATTGCTTGGTAGATATACTGCACTATCATTATTGTGTTTTACATTAAGAAACATAGCACAGTGCTCATTCTATTGCACAGATGCACTGAACACAGTCAGAAAAAAAACCTAGGGTTTTCTTTCTTGAAACTGTTAACAAAAAATATTTTAACAACTGTATATTGCTAAGTTAATGTCACAATAAGATGCATGATTTATGCTATGCAAAATGATTTTTCCTTGCATCATAGTCCCCAGAAGTATTTTCTTTCCTCCAAAGATCTAACATAGGATATAAGAACAAAAAACAAAACACTGTATTGTTAAAATCTCACAGTAGGGTCAATGACAAAACGTCTGCTAAGGGCCAATCACCTACATCCCACTCAAAGCTTTCTTCTGTACAGAACTAGCTGCTAAAACAGTATAAAGCTAAACCTAGTTTCACTCTAGAATCAATAACCCAGGCTAAGCCCCACTCCAACACAGTGTGTCTTTTTTGCTACTCTTCATTGGACAGAAGATTCATATGATAGGGCATCTTCTTAATTAGTCTCCTCCTTTTTTTTGGTTCCAGGAACATCACTCTAAATTACATATGAAAGTGAGCATGTTCAGGCTTGCGCAAGACAGTTCTGAGAATCTGGCATAAAGCAAATCTAAAATTAGAAATTTATCTGGTCACCCAATCAACTCAAATTCCGCTGGCTTCTAGTTTGGTGCAAAACAAATCTCCAAGTCTAGTTTATACCAATATTGTTCTTAAATAACAATTAACAATATCTCCTTTGAATTGCAAAGTACCCAGGTTCAAATCTCCTGCTGGGCACTCCTGGGGCAATCATATTCTGGTGACATGCTGCATAGGTTGGTGGAGCTGGATAAAGCTGCATAGTTGAGGTGTTCCATGAGGCTGATACAGGTGATGTGATGGAGGTGCAGAGATCTCCAGCAAGGCATCAAGTGGAGGAACAGACCCTTCACAGATGGAGAGCCAAATTTAAGTGGAATGACAAGTCTAGTTTACAGGAGTTCTCAATGTGTGATTGCTAGCCATGCCCCATAGTCATCCAATTTTAGTTGGTTAGTTACATAGTTATCTGAAGTCCATCAAGTTCAACCTCAAAACCTTTAATGCTGTTAATCCAAAAGAAGCCAAAAAATAAAAAAACAATTATGCCACAAAAATTCCCGTGGCAATTAGATTTCTCATTAGAACAACAAACTGTGTATGTACATGTCATTTATATCCTTTCATTTTCAGTTAACGCATCCAAGACTTTTTTTCTTAAATATCTGTAGAATCTGATAAGATGACCACTTTAGGTAGAGAATTACACATCTTTGTTGTTCTTCTGCTTTAAGCCAAAGAACCTTTCTTCCAGTCTCAATGGGTGACCTATTGTCTGTCCTACTAGTGAACAGGTTAGCACATAACTTTGACTTGACTCTGTAAATACAAGGTGTCCCAAAAAATGTATACTCACTTTGAAAGATTATAAAGTCAGTGTTTATTAACATACAGTTAATTTTCAAAATGTAAAAGATTCTACAGAAATTAATAATTTTTTGTCAACATCTGTTTTATAACTAATAACCCTCCTGGCCCTCATGATAACGCGAATCAGCTGTTAAAGTGTTTATACATTTATTGGGACACCCTACAATTGTATAGTTCTATCATATACCCTCTGTCTTTTAATGTATTTATTTTTTAAAGAACACAATTCAGCTTTTTTTTTTTTTTTTATTCTTTATTTTTTGTGTGCAAGAGTTAACATAGCAGCTTACTCTGCCACAATAACATACGTAAGCGTGGTCATAACACATTGATTTTAGAATTATGGCATTTAAAGTAGTGCACATTTTTTGAATATAGATGCTCAAAGCATAGACTACTATTGATTACAAATTGCAGTTGAACTTGTTAGCTTAATTTCATTTTATGAAAAGTATACAAACTAGATAAGTACAGTGCTAGAGGGTTAACTGTGTGGAGCATGAGGTGAAAACACTGATTTGAAAAGTAAAAGTTAAAAGTAAAAAGTAAAACCCCCTAGCTACATTAGCATCTTAGCTTAATATGCAGACCTCCATTTTGGCTGCGAGTGATGGGATTTTTAAGCAGCAAAACTGAACATAGTAAGGAAACGAAATAAGTGATATATGTCATCAGACATTCGTGTGAGTTCCAGTGGGGCAAAAACAGTTATGTGTCTGATGAAACTATCTGGGTTAGAGTCTCAGTCCCTTTGGGGTCAACCGATGCCTTGACGGGGCTGGGTGGGTACCCCCTGCTGTAGGTGGTGCAGCTGGTGCGATCTCCTTGGTGTGTGGGTGCTGAGAACCCCTGGGCTGTTCTGAGTTGCTGTGGGTGCTGAGTGTAGCTTCACCTTCCTTGTTTGGGGTGGTCTTGTGCTTGTCTTCGGCGGTTCCCTCCGCTTCCCCGCCTTGCCTGGGAGATGCCGGCATCCACTTTTTTGGTTTGTGTGTCCTGCCTCTGCCCCTGCCGGTTTGGGTAAGTGTCACCCTTTTGCTGCGTCTGCCGTTGGGGTTGCGCTGCTGTTTTTCCCCGTCTGGCGTCTTGTGGGGTGCCCTGTGGCGAAGTCTGGGGGATCTCTTCAGGCTCTGAGCCCCTCATGTGGGCTTCTAGGGACTCCCAGAAAGCAGTGAATATACTGTTTAGTCGCATCTCAGTTTCCCGCCATGTGTTAGACGTGTCGGCGATACGAGAGGCTTCCGCCATCTTGGTGGTCGCAGGGACGGTAGCTTTTGGGCTCAACAGAGCCTGTATTGGCCCATTGCTTCGCCCAGGAGTCATTTGGGGGTGGACCGGGATGACCCCCACCAGTCCAGAGGGGGGGAACAAGGGCGTGCAGTCAGCTTTCCGGCGTGGCCTTGCTGCTGGGGATCGTCCGCCTCCCCTGCACCTGCCACGATTGTAGGCCTCATTGTGTGCTTTGCTTGGTTCGTTGCTTGAGAAGTACCGATCTCTGCACCTCGATGTACTCTCTCGAGTGGTAGCTTTGGGGTCACGATTAAGTGCCTGTATGGTGGTTTATATTAGCGTTAAGTGCCCAGTTTAGTAGGAGCTGCTGAGATGAGTGTCTGCACAGCTCTGCAGTTAGGCCCCGCCCCCAATTCAGCTTTTTTAGCCTTTTCTCATAACTAATATTTTACATCCCCTTCCTAATTTTATGCCTCTGCATTTTTACTAGTTCTGCAATTTTCTTCTTTAAAACTGGTGCCCAAAATTGCACCGCATATTCAATGTGGGGTCTTACTATTGGTTTATAAAGAGGCAAGATTGATATTCCATCACATGAATTGATACTCTTTTTTTATACAGGAAAGCACCATGCTATCTTTTGCAAAGGCAGATCAGCATTGCATACTGTTGCCTAGTTTCTGATCTATAAGTCCTTTTTATTTAATGTTAATTCAACCCCATTTAATGTATAAATGGCTTGTGGGTTCCTTATTACAAAATGCAGTACTTTACAAATATCTGAAGTGGACCCAGTATAGAGCCCTTAAACATTCCACTTACCACTTTTGTCCAATTAGATTTTTTTTCATTTGCAACTACTATTTGTACTCTATCTTTAAGATGTGTCCTATCCAAGAACAAGATTTTTAGTCTAAACCAACTGATTTCATATTTACTAGTAACCTTTGCATAGAACTGTATCAAACATATATTGGATGACCTGTCTTTTATAAAATCATGTTAGTAATATTATTGCTCAATATGAATTTTTGAATATTATCACTTAATAGTCTTTCAAAATATTTACTAACAACAGATGTTAAGCTCACAGGTCTGTAGTGTTTGGGTTAAGCTTTTGCACATTTTTTAAATATAGGCACCACATCTGTTTCCCTCTAATCCTCTGGTATAATTGAAGAAAAGAATCTTGAAAAATTAAAGACAGTTTATGGATATACATCCCTAAGCAAAAGTGTGTAAATACTATCTGGTCCTGGGGCTTTGTTACAACTTTATCCTGTGTTAACTTGTTTTCTGTAACATTTTTGTAGTCTGGATTTGCAATTCTATAGCTTCTTCTTCCCTTTATACTGAAGAGAAAAAAATATTTAACAATTTATGCCTTGTCCTAATACTCTTTGATTAACTCAACCATCTTACTTTCCAATGGACCAACACATTCACTCTTAACCTTTTTCGCATTAACATACTTTTTTAAACTTTTTAAAGTAGGTAGGTCTTGCTCTCTTTGGCCACGAGTGTTTTATTTTCAAGTTTAGCATGCTTATAATTGGTATAGAATATTTGTTCTAGGATGTGATTAACCCCTATAAATTAAATGTTTTGAATGCCCTTTTCTTATCTTTTATCATTTGACTGATCATTTTACTAAGTCCTATTTATATGTTTCCCAATGGTATGTGATGTGAAATGTACTTTTGTAGAATTTGCTTAAATACCTTTCGTGTATCCTTTGTGCTTTTGCCAGTGAATAATTCCTGACAGTCAATTTGATGCAAAGATGCCCTTATCATAATGATTTTTTTCTTTTCACAATTAAGCATGTTTATCCAGGCTATAGAAATTTGTGTTTCTGTGTTAATCTGAAATCATACCATATTATGGTCCGTATTTCCTAAGTGCTCCCTAACGTGAATGTTTGAAAATTAGTCAACAAAATTAATTGAGACAACATCCAGACAAGTATCTATTCTAGTTGGTGCTTCTACTAATTTGAGACATGAAAGTATAATTTATTATGTTCAAAACCCTTTTTCTCTTAACTGTTCTACTAGTCCCCTGACCCAATCAATACCTGGATAATTTAAAATCTTGCATAGATAACAAGTTACCCAGTTGTGCAGCCTTATTAATCTAAAGATATCAGTTTCCCAATCAGCATTAGTGTTTTGGGGCTAGTAACTTATTCCTACAATGCATGGATGCCCCTTTTTCCTCCTATGCATATTTCTGGTTTCCATATCCTCATCATCTTCAAATCAGGTTTAATATGAATACATACCCTGTCCCCTTTTTTAATTTTTTTCTATACTTTCTAAATAGTATATCCATTTAAATTATTAGCCCAATCATGTTATTGTTCCATGGTTAAGCAAGATGCATATGTGTCAGTTGATAACAACAGTGTGAAAGTAAATTCTTTCTTGGATATAATTTATTTTTAAATCTTTTAGACTTATGTATAGTGGATTCATTTGTTTTGGCAGAACCACTTTGACATAAAAAAAAATAAAAATTGGGACAGCAGAATTTTGTGCAGTTGGTGGTTCAGCTCTTCAGACTTTCAGTAGTCGAAAAACTTTTGGGAAAACGAATCAGACAAATCAAAAGTGCCAGAAAATGGGCCATTGGTATATTCCAAAATCTTTACATAATATAATATTATGTATATATTTTTCAGTACACTGATAGGCACATTCTCCTACCATTTGGTACACAGATCAAGTGAGAAAAAGTAACCAGTAAGGGAAAAAAGAGGGGTGAGCAGTGTAAAAAGTCTATATTTATTAAAAAATATATATATTTTTTATAAACAAAATATATAGATATATAAATATAAAGACAAACTTTCAAGAGTTCTCTTTTCCTCAGGTATGAAGCAATACAGACGTGAGGAAGAGAGGAAAATTATTCAAAGCTTGTCTTTTAAACATTTTAACTTCTTTTATTGTCCTATTAGTCCAATAAATAAAGATATTATTGCACAGGGCAATGCTTCGGCATTTGTGTATATATATATAGATTTTTTTGTATGGTGGTTTGGAAACTGAAAATGTACACAATCACCCTATAATCATCCGATTGCCCCAACTTTGGAAGAATTGCAGTTTGTAAACAAATCTCCAAGTGTAATATAGTTGTGCTCAAAAGTTTGCATAGCCTGGCAGAAATTGTGAAATTTTGGCATTGATTTTGAAAATATGAATGATCATGCAAAATAATTTATTATCAAATAGTTGTTTGGCTCCTTTTTAAATCATAATGATAACAGAAATTACCCAAATGGCCCTGATCAAAGATTTACCCTTGAATGTTTGGCCTTCTTACAGACACACAAGGTGACACATGCAGGTTAAAATGGCAATTAAAGGTTAATTTCCCACTACTGCGGCTTTTAAAATTGTTATTAGTGACTGTATATTAATAGCCAATGAGTTTGTTAGCTCTCACATGGACGTACTGAACAGGCTATACACTGAGTCATGGGGAGCAGAAAAGAACTGTCAAAAGACCTGCGTAACAAGGTAATGGAACTTTATAAAGGTGGAAAAAGATATAAAAAGATCATCGTGGTGCCCTGATACTGTTTATAGGTTTTCTCTATTCACTTTTTTATGTATAAGGGGTTAAGAGTGAGCCTATGGTCAGACTCTAGCCTGTACTAATTAACACTGTGTGCTTCATGCACATATCTATATTTGTTTTTCCTAGAATCAGAATTCTGGACATGTTTTGTACACAGTTGCGTATTTGAATGTCACTTGGAAACTGCTCTTTAACCAATGGTATTGGTCTGTTTTCTGTTTTTAGGACTGCATATACAGACAGACTGGATCTACCCAGAATACTTCTTATTGTCACTCTTTCTTACCAGGATGCATCGATAATAAAAAAAAAAAAAAAGGGCAGCTGAAAATCTATACTAACCAGTAATTTAATTACCAAATCACTTATCTGAATAATAACAAAGGTACTGGACTGCTGCTGGATTGTGCTACATCACCATATGGGGATTTGATAAACTGAAAGCCTAATTTGAGGCTAAACAGAGGCCGCCGTATGTACCATGTATACCATTATAATCCACATAAAGAGAGAATTTCTTTCAAAATCTATGGTCCTCTTAAATGTCCGCATAAATGTAGTTAACAGTTCAAAGTATAGGCAAGCTGAACTTTACTTGGTTAGACCTTTGCAGTAGGTGCACTGGTCAGCGTAAGAGATATGAATGAATGTCCAGTTGATATCCTTCTGGTGGAGTTGGAGGAGTTTGTAAGATGATAAAAGGGTCACTGAGCCTTGCGGATGTCCTCTGGTCTAGGCAGTGCATTTAAAAAATGGACAGGACACACAATATAGTGTAATAAGTTATTTTATTCGGTAAGGAAAATATTGCAATGCACTTATAGTTTTTAAGAGCTTCTGATAAGCTCTAAATAGTAGTTTAAACACAGCAATCACCCCAACAACAGCCTTGGCACACCATGCTGACTCAATACCTCCAAAAATGCTCCAGAACTGCTGAATGCTGTTGGAGGAAATCTCACTGTGCGTCTGACTTTCTCTCACTTTAAATCTATGCTGCACTCATACAGCTTAAATCTTTCCACTGCAAAAGTAAATTACTTCATTACCCTCATAACCACACTCTCCCATGAACCCAAATGACTATTTCAGACATTTAACTCTCTTCTTTGCCCTATTGGTCTCCTCCACCTACTAACTTGACTGCCTCAGACTT